TTTCTTTTTGTTGTTTTTTGTTTTTTTGAGAGGGTTTCACTCTTTGGTGCCGCAGGCTGGAGTGGCAATGGCAAATGATCCTCGGCTCACAAGCAACCTCCCGCCTCCCCAGTTTCAAGAAATTTCTCCTGCTCAGCCCTCCCGAAGTTGCTGGGATTACAGGCATGCACACCACTGCCTGGGCTAATTTTTTTGTAATTTTTAGTAGAGATGGGGTTTCTCCATGTTGGTCAGGCTGGTCTTGAACTCCCGACCTCAGGTGATCTGCCCGCCTCAGCCTCCCTAAGTGCAAGGATTACAGGCGTGAGCCACCGCGCCTGGCCCCAGAGGTCACTTTCATTGTCTTCTTGGTTCTAGCTGGTTTTGGCCAGTTTCTTTTGCTGTTTTCTGTCTTACCAGTGAGGTCTTAGGTATTGTTGTCTTGGAAACCAGTCCTGCCAAATTCCTATCTCACTAGGGTGTGAAAAACAAAGACAAAGGTTAGAGTTATTAAAAACTACACATTTGGATGAGGAGCCAGTGGACTTAAAACTGAGCCTCTGGGCCGGGCACAGTGGCTCATGCCTGTAATCCCAGCACCTTGGTAGGCCAAGGCGAGTGGATCACCTGAGGTTGGGAGTTCGAGACCAGCATAGCCAGCATGGGGAAACCCCGTCTCTACTAAAAATACAAAAATTAGCTGGGCATGGTGACACACGTCTATAATCCCAGTTACTCAGGAGGCTGAGGCGGGAGAATCACTTGAACCCGTGAAGTGGAGTTTGCAGTGAGCCAAGATCATACCATTGCACCCCAGCCTGGGCAACAGAGTGAGACTCTGTCTCAAAACAAACAAACAAACAAACAAAAAAACTGAGGCTCTGAAGAGGAGGAACTGCTCAGATGGTGCTGGTGTTTCTGAGCTCTGAGGAGGATCACCAGAAACTGGAATTTTCTCAGGCAGGGGTGCTGGTCTGGCATCTCCAAATGGTCTGGCATCTCTGAGGATGTGCAAGTTTGGAAAAACTGCAAATTGGATTTAGTTGCTGCTACAGGAAAGAACTGCCTTGGACAGGGTGAAGAAGCTTTGCTGATGCTGATGGGAACAGGAAACCAACAGGAAGTAAGCAGAGAGCAAACAGGAAGGAGCAAGACCCCTTTTCCTCCTTCAAGCTCTACAGTCCCTCTGGCACCCCCTATTGGCAGAGGCTAACACACCACTTGGCAAAGTGAAAGTGGGGTTTTCAGAGTCCCATTCCCAGTTACGCAAAGCCCAGTGTTGAGAAATAGATTTGAAGCCAAGAGATAATAGCTTAATAATTGGCACACATAATAATAGTATGTGCCAAGGACCAGCAATTATGATTTATTCAATTCTGTACCCCTGAGGACCAAATGTATTTTTGAAAGACTACTTGCAAAAAAAAAAAAAAAAAAGTCCTTAAATTCATTGAAAGACTAATTATTTTTCTGGATAGCTAATATGTATGCTCTGCTGATATTTATTCTCCCCCAGTTACATTGTGGTTTTAAAGAGGATTCAATCAAAATCCCAATGAGATGATTTTTCAATGGATTGGACACAATTATTGTAAAGGTTGTCTAAAGAAGTAAATGAGTAAAACAAAGATTGGTTTTCCTGTTGAGGAGTATTAAGAGATATCCAAAGCCAAGATATTAATATATATTATAATGTAACACTAATTAGTGTTATCCTGAAAGAAAAATAGAAAGATAATAAATATAAAAATATTTGAGGGCCAGGTGCGGTGGCTCACACTTACAGTCCAGCACTTTGGGAGGTCATGGTGGGCGGATCACAAGGTCATGAGTTCTAGACCAGTCTGGACAACATGGTGAAACCCCGTCTCTACTAAACATACAAAAATTAGCCAGGCATGGTGGCACATGCCTATAATCCCAGCTACTTGGGAGGCTGAGGCAGAAGAATCACTTGAACTTGGGAAGCGGAGGTTGCAGTGACCCAAGATCATGCCGTTGCACTCCAGCGTGGGTGACAGAGAGCACTTTGGGAGGCCAAAGCAGGCAGATCACGAGGTCAAGAGATCAAGACCATCCTGGTTAACACGGTGAAACCCCATCTCTACTAAAAATACAAAAAATTAGCTGGGTGTGGTGGTGGGCACCTGTAGTCCCAGCTACTTGGGAGGCTAAGGCAGAAGAACCGTTTGAACCCAGGAGGCGGAGCTTGCAGTGAGCTGAGATCGTGCCATTGCACTCCAGCCTGGGCAACAGAGTGAGACTCTGTCAAAAAAAAAAAAAAAAAAATTACAAAGGGAAAAATGTTAAATTTACAGAGGAAAAAGCCCAGTAGATACCACTTTAACCAGGGATCAAGTATAGTGGGTTGAATGGGAATCCAGGAATCCAGGTACCAGCCTCTCCTCCCTCACACCTAGGACCCCAAAAGATAGGGCCACATCCAAATCCCTGGAACCTGTGAATGTTAACTTATTGGAAAGAGTCTGTATTGGTCAGGGTTCTCTAGAGGGGCAGAACTAATAGGATGTGTGTGTGTGTGTGTGTATATGTGTGTGTGTGTGTGTGTACATACATATATATATACACACACACACACACACATACACACACACACACACACATATATGGAAGTTTAGTAAGTATTAATTCACACATTCACGAGGTCCCACAACAGGCCATCTGCAAGCTGAGGAGCAAGGAGAGTCAGTCAAGTCCCAAAACTGAAGAACTTGGAGTTTGATGTTTGAGGGCAGGAAGCATCCAGCACCGGAGAAAGATGCAGGCTGGGAGGCTAGGCCATTCTAGTCTTTTCACATGTTTCTACCTGCTTTGTATTCTAGCCATGCTGGCAGCTGACTAGATGGTGCCCACCCAAATTAAGGGTGGGTCTGCCTTTCCTAGCCCACTGACTCAAATGTTAATCTCCTTTGGCACATCCTCACAGACACACCCAGGATCAATACTTTGCATCCGTCCATCCAGTCAGGTTGACACTCTGTATTTTTTTTTTTCTTTAGACAGAGTTCCGCTCTGTTGTCAGGCTGGAGTGCAGCGGCGCGATCTCGGCTCATTGCAGCCTCTGCCTCCCAGGTTCAAGCAGTTTTCCTGCCTCCGCCTCCTGTGTAGCTGGGATTATAGGCATGTGCCACCATGCCCAGCTAATTTTTGTGTTTTTAGTAGAAACTGGGTTTCACCATGTTGGTCAGGCTGGTCTTAGAACTCCTGACGTCATGTCCGCTACACCTTGGCCCCAAAGTGCTGGATTGCAGGGTGCCATCGCGCCCGTCCAGCAACCACTCGTATTAACCATCACAGAGTCTCTGAAGGTGCAAGTTAAAGACCTTGAAATGAGATCATCTCGCATCATCTTTTGTGGCCATCGTCAATCCAATGCCAAGGTGACATGGAAGAGAAGCGCTGCAGAGAAATTTGAGACAGAGAGAGTCACAATTGGGAAGACGGAAGCCAGAAATTGGAGTTGCGGAACAACAGAAGCAACATTAGAAGCCGTGTTTGCTTCATCTCTGCTGGCCAACGTGAACTTCACAAAGCCCTGGCTATGTGAGATGTGCAGCTCCCAGAAAGACTCTTTGCTCAGGCTCTCAGCTGCCTGTATCCAGCTACTGGGGAAGGCTGAGGCAGGAGAGATCGCTTAAGCCCAGGAGTTCAAGACCAGCCCGGGGAATATGACAAAACCTGTCTCTACAAAAAAAAGAAAAAAAAGGTAATTAGCTGGATTGGTGGTGCACGCACCTTGGGCCCAAGCTACCTGTGAGCTAAGGTAGGAGAATCACTTGACGTTGGAGGTTGAGGCTGCAGTGCAGCTATGATTGCAAGACTGCACTCAGCCTGGGTGGACAGACTGAGATTGTCTCTGGGAAAAAAAAAGAAAAACCTGTTGGCCGGCACAGTGGCTCACGCCTGTAATCCTAGCACTTTGGGAGGCCAAGGTGGGCGGTACCACGGAGTCAAAAAATCTGTTCTCCTCCACCCTGGTCCTCACCTCTTCCACCCCTCCCTGCCCACA